TTATTAACTTTTCTTAAAACCCCCGTAATATCGCTTACTAGGTCCTACTTTATCCCAAAATGTGTTTATATTAGCAGAGTTAGAGTTGGGATCTCTCCCCTTATGGAATGAATCGGCTGCTTAACCCACCGCCTCCACGCCGAGATCTGCGCGTGTACACATATTTGCTTGAGAGAAAGCGCTAATCCCCTTCTAACCTCCCGCTTCCCCCAAAGCCAAAGTGAACTGGGCCAAGCCTCCACTGTCTCCCGATCACCCAGGACATTGCCTCGAATAGCAGTCTTGTGCGAGTCACCACGGCCCTGGGGCAGTTGAAGCGACGTGATGTGCTTCCCGCTGATGCTCCCCTTCTCAACGGTGAGTGCCCGGGTCCCCAGTCCCCAGAGATGTCCCGGGGAGGGGCGGGCCAGGTAAAACAGCACTGGGGAGCCTGGGTGTGGGGCTCCGATGTGCTGCACCTCCTGGCCACAGTCCCTCTAGCCCGTCATCCACATGCCATGGACACTGATATCCCAGGTCGAGAGGAAACGGCCCTGCCTTTCAGCCAGGCCTGACCTTCCTGTCTGTGTTAGCAAGATAAAGAGCTCTGACGCAGCCACATGCCTGCGAGCCCGGGCGTGCGTCTCTGCTGGCGTCTCTGCTGGCGGGCATGGGACACACTGAGCAACTGTGGGCCTGCCCCTGGTGCGCCCACATGCACGGTTATGCGGGTTCCGAGCTCAGCTTGGGAGCCAGCTCTGTCCCCTTCTCTGTGGCTCTGGGCTTGGGGTCAGGAGGAGGGTGGAGCGAGAGTCCGCCAAGGCCCACAGGCTCTGTCCTGTTGGCATCTCTCTGTCTCTCTTGCCTGGCCACCGAGGCAGCCGCTAGGGCTGTTGGGCAGGGGCTGCTGCTAATGGCCCCCCACCGGGAGGCAGGGCTCAGGCTCACGCCCCCACCAGGCCGGTGGGAGCTACCTCCAGTCTGGGGTCCAAATGGCTCCAAATGGGTGAGGAGCTGCGCCTATGGCTTCTCTGTGTGGGGCCCCCTTCAAGCTCTTCGGCCTTCCTCCCCACTACCCTCTCCTCACTCAAGCTCTCTTCCTGGCTGTCTTCTTCTCACTCCCCCCTTTTCTCTGTCCCGCTCCACATCCACACTCGTGGTGCCAGGCCCCAATGGACCCTGGCCGCTGGGGCCCACGAAGCAGGGGACAGATCTCCTGTACCCATGTTGTCTCTTGGTGACCTCTCCTCACCTCCCCCAGGCCCAGCTCTCCTCAACCTCTGCCCTGACCACCCCCTAGCCCTTTGTGGCATGACCCTATTCTCATTGGCTCTGGTTTGCCCCCCCCTTGCCATCTTTGGGGAGTGCTGGGGTGGTGTCTCGGCCTGCATCCCTCCAACTGCCTCAGTTTCTCCCTGGCTCATTCTCCTCTCTCCAGCACTCCCTCTCCGTGCTCGTAAAGGTCCCTCTTTGCCACTGACCCAGGACCAGTTTCCTATCCCTGACGGGGTCTCCCTGCTCTTGCCAACCCTCCCACCTCTTGCCCCCGTGCCACTTCTCTTGTCTGGGTGACGGGCACAGGATTCCTCACGATGTGGCTTCCACCAGCGTCCCTTCACCCACATCCTCCTCTGTCTGTGGGCTCCTGCTCCCTTTCCCCCTCTTCTGGGTCCTCCCACGCCTCTGCCTCCTGCCTCTCTCCCCATCAACACCCCCTCTGCCCTACCCTCCTCTCCATGGCCTTTCCTCTCTGTGTCACAGCCCCCTCTGTCACTGTGTCCTATTTGTGGTCTTGTGGCTTTTCAGGATCTGTCCCCCTTCAACAATAAACACATACATTTAAAGTAGAAGATGAGCCAAACCGGTTTGGCTCAGTGGATAGAGCATCGGCCTGTGGACTGAAGGGTCCTAGGTTCGATTCCGGTCAAGGGCATGTACCTTGGTTGCGGGCACATCCCCAGTAGGAGGTGTGCAGGAAGCAGCTGGTCGATGTTTCTCTCTCATCGATGTTTCTAACTCTCTATCCCTCTCCCTTCCTCTCTGTAAAAAATCAATGAATCTAATCTAATAAAAGACAAACATGCAAATTGACCGTACCTTTGCTATGCCTTAAGCCACGCCCACCAGCCAATCAGAGCGACTATATGCAAATTAACCCAACCAAGATGGTGGCCGGCACTCACGGAGCTGAAGCCAGCAGGAGAGTTGGTTGCTCCAGGGAACGGGCCTAAACCAGCAGGGGTCATCCCCCAAGGGGTCCCAGACTGTGAGAGGGCACAGGCCAGGCTGAGGGACCCCCCCACCCCCCGAGTGCACAAATTTTTGTGCACCGGGCCTCTAGCATATATATAAAAAAAAAAGTAGAAGATGAAAGAATTCTTTCCTTGTGCATGTATGTGACCCCCCCATCTCTTGGATATTCTCTTTGTCACTCTTTCTGTCCTTCTCTCTCCGCCCCCTTTCTGACTCCCTCTCTCTCTGTCTCCATGTCTCTCTCTGCTCTCTTTCTTCTTTTAAAATATATTTTTATTGATTTCAGAGAGGAACGGAGACAGAAAGAGAGATAGAAACATCAATGATGAGAGAGCATCATTGATCAGTTGTCTCCTGCACGCCCCACACTGGGGATCGAGCCCGCAACCCGGGCATGCGCCCTGACCAGGAATTGAACCGTGACCTCCTGGTTCGTAGGTCAACGCTCAACCACTGAGCCACGTCGACCGAGCTGTCTCTTCTCTTTGCTTCTCTCTGCTCTCTTTCTTTGTCCCTGCTTTATGGCTCCTCCTCTCTGCCTCTCTGTGCTTCTCTCCCTCTGTTTTTATCTCTCTTCTCAATTCTTCTCTCCCTCTGGTGCTCTTTCTCTACCCCCTCTTCCTCTGTCCCCCTCACCTCCCTGACTCATGCCGACCAGGGGTGGGGAGGCAGTGCTCCCTCCCACTGGGCCTCAGGTGCTCGGCTCTCCCCCAGGCCCCGGTGATGGCTCCCTGGTCTCCCTTCGGCCCCCACCTCCTGCTCGTGCTGTTGCTGCTGTGCCCACCGCTGCCCCCGACTCAGGCCCATCGCTTCTCCGCACTCAACACTACCTTCAACCACTTGGCACTGGCACCCGACCGGGGCACAGTCTACGTGGGGGCGGTGAACCGCCTCTTCCAGCTCAGCCCGGAATTACAGCTTGAGGCTGTGGCTATCACCGGCCCCATCTTCGACAGCCCCGACTGCGTGCCTTTCCGTGACCCAGCTGAGTGCCCGCAGGCCCAGCTCACTGATAACGCCAACCAGCTGCTACTCGTGAGCAGCCGGGCCCAGGAGCTGGTGGCCTGTGGGCAGGTGCGGCAGGGCGTGTGCGAGAAGCGGCGCCTTGAGGACGTGTCCCAGCTTCTGTACCAGGCCGAGGACCCAGGTGATGGACAGTTTGTGGCCGCCAATGCCCCAGGAGTGGCCACGGTGGGCCTGGTAGTGCCTGCACCGGGCCGGGACCTCCTGCTGGTGGCCAGAGGCCTGGCGGGCAAGCTGTCAGGAGGGGTACCGCCCCTGACTGTTCGCCAACTGGCTGGGCCGCAGCCCTTCTCCAGCGAGGGCCTGGGCCGCCTCGTGGTGGGAGACTTGTCTGACTACAACAACAGCTACGTGGCGGCCTTTGCCAACGCCCGCTCCGCGTACTTCGTCTTCCGCCGTCGTGGGGCCAGGGCACAGGCCGACTATCGCTCCTATGTTGCCCGAGTCTGTCTGGGGGATGCCAATCTCTACTCCTACGTGGAGGTGCCCCTCCACTGCCATGGTCAGGGCCTCATCCAGGCTGCCTTCCTCGCCCCGGGCACCTTGCTGGGGGCCTTTGCCGCAGGCCCAAAGGGGACACAGGCGGCCCTGTGCGCCTTCCCCCTGGCAGAGCTGGACGGCAGCATGGAGCAGGCCCGGCGCCTTTGCTACACAGCAGGCGGCCGGGGCCCCAGCGGCACGGAGGAAGCCACCGTGGAGTATGGCGTCACTTCACGCTGCGTCACCCTGCCCCCTGTAAGTGGCTGGGCCTGGGCCCCACACTTGTCCTCTCACCTCAGGCTTTACCCACCATCTTTTGGTGGCGGCTCTGGTCTTCTCTCGCTGCCTCATCTGGCCTCGCCTGCCTCTCTGTCCCTGTCCCTCGTGGTCCTGTGGCATCTCTCAGCCCAGGGCAGGGGCTGCCATATGTAGTCCTGAGCTGCAGGCAGCTGGACACTCTCATGTGACAATGACCCATGGCCTCTTGGTTAGAGGATGTCACGAAGGGGCCGGCTTGGTCTCCAAGTCTCCTAGCTGGTCTGTCTTTCTCCCTCTCTGCAGCGGGCTTGGTCTTACCATGGGCTCCCTGGCCCTACCCTCTATCCTGCCTTGCTCTCTCCTCACTGGCCACCTGGCTGTCCTCCTCTGACTAGCTCTGGGCCTGGGGAAGTATCTTCTGCCTTTTCTGAGAACTGATTTTGCCCTCCCCGCCTGTCCAGGACTCCCCTGAGTCGTACCCCTGTGGTGACGAGCACACCCCCAGCCCCATCGCTGGCCGCCAGCCCCTGGAGGCCAGGCCTCTGCTACAGCTCGGGCAGCCCATCAGCGCCATCGCAGCCCTCCAGGCAGATGGGCACATGGTAGCCTTCCTGGGGGACACCCAGGGCCAGCTGCATAAGGTGAGGGCCTGTCATCGCCAGCCTCCCGGCCCTATGGTCTTAACACTGCCGGGCCAGGCCCTGCAGCGGCTCAGGGCAGCCCCAGGTACCCTCCGCCTCAGCTTGTGTCCTGGCTGGCTGGGTGCCACCTGCTGGCTGCCTGGCACCCAGAGACATCACCTAGGATGACGTCCCAGGTGTCTCCTAGGCAACCCCAACTTCTCCAGCCAATAGTGGGAGCTAACAGCCAAGGTGGATGAGGGTGGCATGGAGGCAGGGTGGGCAGTGCCTGGCCCTCAGAGCCAGCCTAGCCCCAGAAGCCTCTCCGAGGCAAACTCTTGCCTTCTTGTGACCTGTTTGCCTCCCCACAGCTGTCTTCCTGCCCCTGGTGCCCAAGGGCCTCACCCAGGGTGGCTCTGCCACCCTAGCTGGGTGATGCTGAATGGAGGAGGCAACACTGGCAGAATGGACGCCCATGGGCCTTCCCCACCCTCTGTGGCCTGGGATCCCCAGTCTGGAAAAGAGCACATGCCCTGAACAGTTGGCCTGGGGCCATCTGAGAGGGGGCCTTGGCTCAGCGGTCTGGCCCAGCCCTGTCCTTGTCATCCCCCAGGTCTTTCTCAATGGCTCCCAAAGCCAGGTGTACCACTCCCAGCAAGTGGGGCCTCCAGGCTCAGCGATCAGCCCCGACCTGCTTGTGGACAACAGCAGCAGCCACCTCTACGTCCTGACTGCCCAGCAGGTGAGGGCTGGTCCACGAGTCTGGGTACATGAGGCCTGAGTGCCCGCACCCACTGCTTCTATCCCTCCTGCCCATCCAGGTAGACCGGGTACCCGTGGCGGCCTGCCCCCAGCTCCCCGACTGCACCAGCTGCCTCCAGGCCCGGGACCCGCTATGTGGCTGGTGCATCCTCCAGGGCAGGTGAGTGCAGCGCCTACGCCCAGGTTTGGGCTGACAGGTGGTGCATGCTGGGAGGCCACACCTGGAAGCAGCCCTGGGCATGCCAGGAGGCCAGTTTGGCTCCCCGTGGTAAAAACTCGGGCTGCGCCCGGTGTGGCTCAGTGTTTGAGCATTGACCAAGGACGTCACTTTTAGATTCCCTGTCAGGGCACATGCCCGGGTTGTGGGCTCGATCCTCAGTGTGGGGCGTGCAGGAGGCAGCTGATTAATGATTCTCTCTTCTCATTGATGTCTCTATCTCTCTCTCCCTCTCCCTTCCTTTCTGAAATCAATAAAATATATTAAAAATAAAAAAAGACTCAGGCGGCTGCTGAGTTCCTCCATCCTGTCCCATCCCACCAAACCAAGACTGCTCGGCAGCCCCTTCCCACCACGGCCAAACCTGCTCACTTCCCATTCCCCCACCTCTACCCTGGGCCAGGCCTCTGTCCCCTCTCCCAGGTGTCCCCTCCAGCCCATGCTCTGCATGGCAGCCCCAGGAATCCCTACGGCACCCCTAAGCCAGATGCGTGTGCCTTCCCTCTGCAGCACGGCCCCCTCTTACTGTCAAGGCCAAAGCCCATGCATTGACCACCGAGCCCTGGTGCTTGGCCCCTTCCTCTGTGACCACAGTGCTGTTCATCTCCCCTGCTTACTGCTCTCCAGCTGGGCCATCCTTTCAACCCTCTTGTGGCCAGTCATCCAAATAGCCTGAGACCCACACGGTGACCCAATGGGCCCTTGCCTGCAGGTGTACCCGCAAGGGCGAATGTGCGAGGGCAGCCCAGCCCAACCAGTGGCTGTGGAGCTATGAGGAGGACAGTCGCTGCCTGCATGTCCAGAGCTTGCTGCCGGCCCATCACCCCCGCCAGGAGCAGGGCCAGGTGAGGCTCCTGTACCACCTGCCTGTGAGGGATGCCCCCAGGCTGCACCCACCTCCACCCCGTCCTCCTCTCTTGCTGCCTCTGCTCCCATTCGCTATACTCTGGCTCCATCTCCCTCGGCGAGTTGCCCCCCCCCAAGAAGCCCTTGCCTGCTCTGTTTTCCTTGCACATGCCCCAGGTCACCTTGTCTGTCCCCCGGCTGCCCACCCTGGCTATGGATGAATACTTCCATTGTGCCTTTGGAGACTACGACAGCTTGGCTCAAGTGGAAGGGCCCCACGTGGCCTGTGTCACCCCTCCCCAAGACCAGCTGCCACTTAACCCTCCAGGCACAGGTGAGGGGTCCCTGGGCTGGGTGGCCGGGGCAGGAGCTGGAGGGGCAGAGCCACATGACCTATTCTGCTATCACCATCCCCTCCTAGACCACATCACCTTGTCCCTGGCCTTGATGTTTGAGGATGTGGCCATAGCTGTCACCAACTTCTCCTTCTATGACTGCAGTGCTGTCCATGCCTTGGAGGTGGCTGCCCCGTGAGTGCTGGGCCTGGCTGCCGGGTAAGGGTGGCGACCCAGATAGTGCCCAGCCTGAGCAGCCCCCTGCCTCTCCAGGTGCCGTGCTTGTGTGAGCAGCCTCTGGCGATGCCACTGGTGCCCCCAGAGCAGCCGCTGTGTGTACGGAGAGCACTGCCCAGAGGGCGAGAGGACCATCTATAGCACCCAGGAGGTAGGTGGGCCCTGCCTGTTGGGCTCTCCTTCGCTGCTCAACCTCTCCCTGCAATGGCTGCAGGGCTGCGTGTGTGGGCCTCTGCCTTTACTGTCACTGCAGACCCACCTCACCCTGTGCCCTGCCCGGGCCCCTGAACTTCGGAAGGGCTAATGGATCTTCTTTCCCCAGGTGGATGTCCAGATGCGTGGCCCAGGGGTTTGTCCTCAGGTTGAGGGCCTAGCAAGTCCCCTCCTGGTGCCTGTGGGCTGGGAGAGCCGCTTGGCCCTGCGAGTTCGGAACCTTCAGCATTTCCGAGTAAGCGGTCCGGTGGGCTGGGAATGGGGACAGAGTGGGAGGTGGCTGACCATGTCCAGGGTCCTGACAGTGTCTACCGCCAGGGCCTGCCTGCCTCCTACCACTGCTGGCTGGAGCTGCCCGGAGAACTACGGAGGCTGCCAGCCTCCCTGGAAGAGACGACTGGGGATGCGGGCCTCGTCTACTGCCAGGCCCAGCAGGTGAGCAGCCGTCCGCAGCCTCGCCTGCCATTGGACGCCTTCTGCAGCCCTCAGATGCCCCAAACTCCCTTCCTCCCAGCTTGTCCCAGCCCTCCAGAGGCTCACGCTCTCCATCCCTTTGTCACGAGGCCTGCTCTGTGTAGCAGGAACACCGTGCCCACAGCCTCTGCCCCAGGCTTGCTGTCTGGTGGGAGATGTGGGCACTGAACAATGGCACCCATTCTGGGAGGAGGCAAGGGTCAGGGGTGTCCTGAGTTGGGCTAGGCCTGACCCACCCTCCACCCACAGTTCCACCCCCCCATGGCCCAGCGGGAGCTCCCGGTGCCCATCTACGTCACCCGGGGCGAGGGCCAGAGGCTGGACAATGCCCAGCCTCTTCATGGTGAGTTTGGGGGCGGCAGGGCAGGCCGGGCAGGGTGTGCGGCAAAGGGGAGGCGCCTCAGTGTGCTGCCTGACCTTCCCCAGTGACCCTCTACGACTGTGCCGTGGGCCACCCCGACTGCAGCCACTGCCAGGCAGCCAACGGGAGCCTGGGCTGCCTGTGGTGCAGCCACGGCCAGCCTGCCTGTCTCTATGGGCCACTGTGCCCACCTGGGGCCGTGGAGCTGCTGTGTCCAACACCCACCATCGACATGGTCAGCCCCCCAGCCCCAGCCCTGATCTCCACCCCCAACTCCTCCCCAATGGCCCAGTCCCTCTCCTTCTCCCCCACCCCAGCCCCATCTGCCTTGCCATGCCCCTCACTGTCCTAGCCTCACCCAGGTCAGAGGAGCTGCCTCCGGCTGGCCAGCTGGTCAGGCAAGCCCCACTGCAGAGCAGGTGTGGCTTTGGGGATCCCATGGCCACCTTCCTTGCTGCAGATCGAGCCCCTGACTGGCCCCCCTGAGGGCGGCTTGGCCCTCACCATCCTGGGCTCCAACCTGGGCCGGGACTTTGCTGACGTGCAGGACGCCGTGAGTGTGGCCGGCCAGCCCTGCAACCCTGACCCTGCTCTCTACCGCACCTCTGCCCGGTGAGGCCCTCCGGGACTGGCCACCCAGAGATAAGGGTGGCTTGCAGCCAAGAAATGAGGGTCTGGGTCAGATGTGCCAAGGGAGGGGGCAGCCGGCAGTGAGAGGGGTGGAGGGGGTAGGCTTCAGGGAGTGGCTGGTGGGTGGTTCACAGCTCCTGCCAGGGAAGGACCCAGCGCATAAGGGCCCTGAGCAACTACCGGGCCTCTGCTCCCCAGGATTGTGTGTGTGACATCTCCGGCCCCCAAAGGCACCACAGGGCCAATCCAAGTGGCCATTAAGAGTCGGCCACCAGGCATCTCCACCCAACACTTCACCTACCAGGTCAGTGCCCAGCCTGAGTTGGTCCCCATGCAGGGGAAGTAGGAGGGAGGGGCAGAAAGGCAGGGACACCCAGGTGAGGATTTCAAACTTGACCTCAGCGTAGCTGGGAGTGTTGCCACCTGTCCAGTAGGGAAGCTACATGATCTGAGTGGAGGACGGGCTGGGACAGTGGCGCCACAATGCGGACACTGCTGGCAGCAGCTGTCCAGGAGGGAGGCGGGCAGCAGAAGCAATTAGAACAGAGGGTGGGTGGGCCAGTGTGGGGCTCAGAGCTGTTGGGACTTGCTGCAGGCCTGGCTGCCTGCGGACAGGGGGATGGGGAGGGCAGGGACCCCTTCAGGTGTTAAGGTGGTGCAAGCGATGGCAGAGGAGGCCATCTGGGAGGAGCAGACACAATGAGAGAAGACCCCTCCCTCCCCATGGGGCCAGGCGGCTGAGATGAGAGCTGTGGGGCTACGGAAGCTGAGCGTAAGGCTTTTCAGGTGGGTGCTGTCGGCTGTAGCCCAGGAGACAGAGCTGAGAAGTGGGCCAGCACCTCACAGCCCAAGAGCTCTGGGGACTGGAGCTGAGGCAAGGAAGCGCCAGGACGGGCTGCCATGCCTGCTGGTCTACCATGTCTGCCCTGTCTCCCAGGACCCCAGGACCCCATCCTGCTGAGCCTGAGTCCCCAGAGAGGTCCCCAGGCAGGGGGCACCCAGCTCACCATCCATGGGCAACACCTCCAGACAGGAGGCAACATCAGTGCCTTTGTGGGCAGCCAATCCTGTCCTATGTGAGTATCTCTCTCCTCCCCATACTGGCCGGGCTGCTGTCAGCTGGGGATATTCCTTGTGGGCCTCAGTGACCCCTTTTGTACAGCACCGGGGGTGGACTCAGGGCTCCCCAAGCCCCCATGAAAGTTCAAGAGAAGCCTGGCCAGCGTGGCTCAGCAGTTGAGTGTCGACCTATGAACCAGGAGGTCATGGCTGGATCCCCGGTCAGGGCACATGCCCGGATGCGGGCTTGATCCCCAGTGTGGGGCATGCAGGAGGCAGCCGATCAATGACTTTCTCATCACTGATGTTTCTATCACTCTCTCCTTCTCCCTTCCTCTCTGAAATCAACTTAAAAATATATATTTAAAAAAAGAAAAAAGGAAGTCCAAGAGAAATGTCACTGTGACCACCTTGGTGGGCTCTGCCCTAGAGGGAGCAAAGCGGGGCTTTTGTGGGGTGGCCAGGCTGAAGCTAGAGTCTAAGATGCCAGACCCCTCCCCCCTGCAGCCAGGAGCCAGTGTGTCCTGAGGCCATTGTGTGCCACACCATGCCCCAGGCCGGCCCAGGAGAAGCTGTGGTTCGTGTGGTCTTTGGCCAGGCCCAGCGCACACTGGGAGCCAGCCCTTTCCGCTACACAGCCAACCCCCAGCTCACAGCGGCAGAGCCCAGCGTCAGCTTCCGAGGGTGAGGACCTGGGCCACCAGGGCGACCTGTGTGTCCTTCCTGGGAGGCCCGGAGGTGGGGAGGCAAGGCTGAGCTGGGCTGCCCGCTGCCCCCACCCCTGCTGACTACTATCCTGGCACAGGGGCGGGCGGCTGATCCGAGTCAGGGGCCAGGATCTGGACGTGGTGCGGCGGCCCCTGCTGTCCGTGTGGCTGGAGTCTGCGGCAGAGGCGCAGGCTATGGCGACCCAGCCCCAGGACCTCAGGAGGGGCTGTGGGGCCCCTGCTGAACCCCCGCAGGCTTGCGTCCAGCTTGAGGGGGGTTTGCTGCAGGTGAGCCCCCACCAGCCATCATCGGGGCAGCCAGTGGGGCGGTGCCCAGTGAAGGGGGCAGGGCGGGTCACCCTGTTCCTGGGAGTGAGCGGGGGAAGGCCCAGCTCATCCCACCTCTTCCTGGTCCCACAGTGCTCCACCGTCTGCTCCATCAACTCCTCCAGCCTCCTCCTATGCCGGAGCCCCGCTGTTCCAGATGATGCACGCCTCCAGCGCGTCTTCTTCTCCCTCCACAACGTGCGCGTGGACTTTGCCAACGCCAGTGGGGGCCAGGACTTTCTGTACCAGCCCAACCCCCGGCTGGCCCCCCTCAGCCGCAAAGGGCCTGCCCGCCTCAAGCCAGGCAACGTCCTAGATGTGGAGGTGAGGGCTTCTGCTGCC